AATTCATAGCAATACAGGCCTAACTAAATAAATAAGAAAAATCTCGAATTAACAATCTTAACTTACACCTTAAAAAACTAGAGAGAACAGTGAACAGAGCCCAAAGTGAGTAGAATAAAGGAGATAATAAAGATCAAGGTGAGAATAAATAAAATAGTCTTTAAAAACAATACAAATGATTGATAAAATCAGGAGCTGATTTTTTGTAAAGATAAACAAGATTGATAAACATTTAACCAGGCTCATCAAGAAAAAAGAGAGGGCCCAAATAAATAAGACCAGAAATGAAAGAAGAGAAGTAACAACTGACATCACAGCTATACAAAGGATTATTAAAAATATAAAAAACTACCTGCCAACAAATAGGACAATCTGGTAGAAATAAGTAAAATCCTAGAAACATATATTCTTCCAAAAATGAATTATGAAGAAAAAGAATCTGAACAGACCAATTACAACTAATGAAATCAAACCAGTAATAATAAAAACTCCCAACAGACAAAAGTCCTGGACAGGATGGCTTCACGTTTGAATTTTACCAAAATTCAAAGAAGAACTAACACCTATCCTTCAGAAATAATTCCAAAAGAATTAGGAAGAAAGTAAACCCCCAAGCTGATTTTAAAAGGGCAGCGTTATCCTAATTCCAAAACCAGATGAAGTCACTACAAAGAAAAAATATGTAGATCAATATCCCTGATAAACATTGATGCTAAAGTCCTCAACAAAATATTAACAAACTGAATTAAGCAATACATTAAAAAGAACATACGTCATGATGAAGTAGAAATTATTCCTGGGATGCAAGATTGGTACAATATCTGCAAATCAATTAATGTCATAAACCACATAAATGAAATAAAGAATAAAATCATGTAATCATATCAATAAATGCAGAAAAAGAATTTGTCAGAATTTATCACCCATTTCTGTTAAAGATTATCAGCAAAAGGGAAATAGAAGGAAGATACCTCAACATAATGAAAACTATATATGACAACAAAATGAAAAAACAACCTGCCCAATGGGAGAGTATATTAGCCAATAATACATCTGATAAGGGGTTAATATCCAAATTTTATAAAGAACTCACACAACTTAATGCCCCAAAACCCAAACAATCCAAAAATAAAAAAGGCAGAGAACCTGAATAGACACTTCTCCAAAGAGGACATACAGATAACTATAAACATGTAAAAAGTTGCTCAAAATTAATAATCATCAGAGAAATGCAAATTAAAACTACAATGAGATCCAACTGTCATAATGACTATTATCACTAAGTCAACAAACAAGAGCTGGTGAGGATGCAGAGGAAAGAGAAGCTTTGTGTCCTCTTGGTGGAAATGAAGACTGGTGCAGCCACTGTGGAAAGCAGTGTAGAGTTACTTCGAAAAATTAAAAATGTAACTGCCTTATGACCCAGTGATTCCACTTCCAAAAGAAATCTAAAACACTAATTTGAAAACATATATGCACTCCTATGTTCACTGCAATATTATTTAAAATAGCCAAGATATGCAAGCAACCTCAATGTCTATCCATAAATGATTGGATAAAGAATGAATGGTACATATATGCAATGGAATAATACTCAACCATGAAAAAGAATGAAATCTTACCACTAGTGACACCATAGATGGATCTAGAGAGTATTATATTAAGTGAAATAAGTCAGACAGAGAAAGACAAATACCATATGATTTCACTTATAGGTGGAATCTAAAGAACAAAACAAACAAAATAGAAATCAACTCATAGATACAACAAACTGATAGTTGCCAGGTGGGAGGGATTCAGGGGGCCTGGGTGAAAAAAGGTGAAGGGCTTAAGAAGTACAAATTGGTAGTTGCCAAATAGTGACTGGGATGTAAAGTACAACTAAAGAAGTATAGTCAATAATATTGTAATACCTTTTTATGGTGCCAGATGGGATACTAGACTTATTGGGGAAATCATTTTGTAAATTATATCAATGTTTAACCACTATGCTGTACCCTTGAAACCAATATAAAATAATATTGAATGTCTAAAGTAATAAAAAAAAAGAATTTGTTGCTTTTCCCTGGGAACTACCGAATCTCATCAAATACCACCTCCAGGGAGATCCTATTCTCCAACACAGACTGCTCACAAGAACAACTCCTGCTTCCTACAGAGCATGGCAATGTTATCTCTGTGGCAGAACCTGGCTCCTACTTAGGCAGCCTTGACGCCCTGCAGGATGACGAGTCTCACAATGAGGTTTTTGAGTCTCTGGCCCAGAGGTCTGGTCAGTGTTGGCCTTGGGACTCGGTCGTTAAGGCCTTCCTGAGGGTGACTTCTGAATCATACCATCTGCTGAGACTTCTGGTGAAGGTGGGGTGGGGGTGGAGGATTAATAATGCTGACGATAATGATAACTCACATTTATGGAGTATTTGCTATATGCTACGAATTCCCCTGAACACTACAACAACACTATAAAGTGGTGTACTATTATTATTGGCATGTTAAAGGTGGGGACACAGGCATAGAGAGGTTGAGCAACTTGCCCAAATTCTTATAGCTAACTGGTGGCAAACCTGAGATTTGAGATCAGGTAGGCTGGTCCCCAGAACCCTTGCTCATAGCCCCCACACTCTGCTGGCTCCCCATTACCCAGAAAGAGAGGTGTCAGAGCCTCATTCAGCCCATGTGGCTGGCTGATTATCAGTTAGGGGGTTTTCCTCTGGAGAGTACCAACAAGGATAGCTCTGAGAAACCAAGGAGATGTGACAGCAGGCTCGGCAGGTACAAAGACTGGAGTTCTCTGAGGTCAAGTGGAAGCCATGCCTGCCCCTGTGTCTGTTGCCCATCTCTGAGCTTGATATCTCTCTATCCTCATCTAATATCATGAACACTGTGGACCCTATAAATGTACTCAGCCTTGTCCAGAAAGACTTCACACTAAATACTAAAAACAAACACTATCTTTCACCAAAACTGCAGTCAGTTGCCCGCAACCAAATCAAGACTCCCCCTACTCCCAGCTGTGGCCTTTGGAATTCCTTCCCGTCCCTGTTCCAGTCTCCTTATGTGTGAAATGAGGGGAAGTTCTACCAACCTATGGTTGTTGTGATGATTAAATAAAATACTCCACAAAATGGCTTTCAAGAGCCTGGCACACAAACATTTAATAAATGCTGGTAACAACAACAAGAAAAACAACTTTCCCATCTCTGTTGATAGCAACCCATTTCTTTGGTTCCAAGATATAATATCTTTGACACTTTTTTGACTGTTCTGTTTCCTTCCTCTGGAGTTCAAGCTAGTTCCCAAGGGAAAGGGGCTATCTGTAGGTAGCATTGTCATAGAGGGTTTGCCCACGCCTGGGGTTCAGGAGAAGACTACTGGCTTAGCCAGAAGCTAGGGCATAAATCAGGACACAGAGTGGACTGTCCTGATAGAGGGGGCTGCTCTGGGAAACATACATTTACTAAACAGATTTTTTTACTGACTAACAATAAAAAAAAAAAAAACCCATACAAAACAGCATTGCCTGAGAGTTTGCTCAGTACCAAGAGTGATCTAAATATTCCTTGGGTTAACTCATTTAAACCTCACAACAATCAGATGAAGTACATAATTTTATTACCCTCATTTTATAGATGGGATAATTGAGGCATAGAAAGGTAAAATAATGGGAAGGCTGGGCTTTTTTAAAGCTAGTCAGTCTGGCTCTGGAGTTTATGCTCTAGACCCCTATGTTATGCTGCCTCTTATTTTTAATGTACTAACCACAGACATATGTCATTTCCACTTGTGAGGATACCACACCGCCCTGTCTCATGGGTAGAGAAAAAGCTATCTCACTTTCCCTCTCAACCCTCCTCTTTATGTTCTCCCTTCACTGCACACACTTGTTCATATCTTTGGCTGTTCTGTCTTCTCTTAACTAATCCAGATCTTGCAAAGTCAAATACAGTACCCACTACCTCTTCCATGAAGTCTTCCCTGACTAAACACAGCTCACAGTGAGCTTTATTCCCTCTGATTTTCCGCAGATTTCTGACCTAGGTTTTGAAGTGATGTTCCCAAGTTACTTCAAGGTCACACAGAAGTTTGGTGGTGGAAATGGGATTGGAGTTAAGTGCTCTCCTCACTACAGAATACTGAATGCATTGCTGTCTGGCCCAAGTTGTATGAGTAACCAAAAGGTTCTATTTGCATACTTAAGACAGTTATGAAATTTAGTCCTTGATGCCCCAAAGGAGTTGGGGCCTTTTGTGAGCTCACAGGCAAGGATGTGCATACAGATAGGAGAGCTCACAGGCTGCCCTCCTGTCAGCCTCAGCAGGCCCCTCCCACCATGGGCCACTGGGTTCCTGATACCGACAGTCTAGATTCTGGTGATGTCTCTCGGGCCCTGTCTCTTGCTGTCCCTCCCATAACTCCAAAACAATTGTTGTTCAGAGGACAATTTTCCAGCAGTGAGAGAATGTGCAGAGAGGCCCACACACAAAAAACTATTTATGTTAGTAAATATCATTCATTATTTCTGCAGACATGTGCTTCTTCCCTTGTTTACTCTTGGAAGTGGCCTTGGGAAAACTAACATGGAGTGATGGGTCCAGATGTAATTTAATAGCCATCTCAGGAAAGTGCAGCATCCCATTCTTAAAGGCTAGAAAATCCAAGTATATGCAGGGTCGCTAAGGGACTTGTCTGGGAGCCTACTCTAAGTAGTGATAGGTTTTTTAATTCTTGTGTTACATTTCTAGTCAGTGGAACCAGAATGTCTCCTGAATATTTTTCTTTTTTATGAAAAGCAGCATCATATGCAGCAGCCCCTTTAGTGGAGGTGTCCTGGGGCTTACGTTGGAAGGACAAAGGCAAACAACCCGTTCCTCTGACAGTGAGTGAAAGATGGTTTCCAGGATGTGGGTTGCTTTCTTGCTAATAAATATGTTTGCAAAATGCACGCATGCAAAGCAGACCTTCTTTCACATGGTTACTAAGAATTCTACATTTACTTTTAGGTTGTCACCACTGGGAAGCAACAACTAGATTTTGAAACAGGACCGAACATATTTGATTTGCAGATTTATGTTAAGGATTACGTTGGTGTCACGGACCTACAGGTTCTAACTGTCCAGGTAACAGATGTGAATGAGCCGCCTCAGTTCCTAGGCAACTTGGCAAAAGGTAAGATACACAGGGGTGTGCAATGTAGCCCAGACGGTGGGATCAGGGATGACCCTGAGGGATGGAGCAAAACAGAAAAGTAAATAAACAAGCAGCTGTTTCCCTGGAAAAAGCAGCTGCTTGATGAGCAGGGAATAAATTAAGTGTCCTCCAGTCCAGGATTCCCAATAATAATTCTCAACAATTTACAAAGCCCTTTATATCTGTGGTTTCTCTTGGGCCTCTCCTAGTTCTGGGGAGGAAAAGGAGGTCAGGACCTCAAGTGGACCATTCTGAAGGAATCTGGGCCCGGCCCAGCGGGCTCATCACTGTGTACCATTGGTCACTGACTGAATTGTTCATTCTCCCCATGGATGCTGACCCCTTGAGAGCATAGTGTGCCTGAAGTCTCCTATAGAGTGGGGACAATACTTGAAGGGATGGGAACAGAGTAACTTCCTGCATAATCTCCCCCAGGCTCATGCCTTTGAATGCCATCCATATTGACAACTTTTAAGTCTACTGTTTTAGTTCAGACTCTCTCCTGAACTCCACTCAAACATCCAAGTATCTTACCACTAACATCACCACTTGGATATCTAATAGACATCTGTAATAGAAATATATCTATTTGGTCTTCTTCCTGTTCCTGACACAAAGCCCCTAAAACCCTTGGATTTCCAATGATGAGAGTGATAAAAGTATGCTTTGTTATGTTAATGGTGTGATGTCCGGAATGCCCCTAAGTCACCTGAGCATGGCAATGGTGGCCAGTGGAGCCAATCTTGGGATTTGAGGGTTGGAACTTTCAGTACCCTCCACTCCCACATACTCTCCCACCCACCACCACCGCAGCCGAAGGGAGAGAAGGTGGAATTTGAATTCAATTACAAATAGCCAATGGTTTAATTAATTGTGCCCATATATTGAAGCTTCTACAAAATGCAAAAGGGGTTCAGAGAGCTTCTAGGTTGGTGGAGATCCAGGGAGAGTGGCATGCCCAGAGATCTTGGAAGATTTGTGCCCTAAGCACCTCTTCCATCTGGCTGTTCCTGAGCTATATCCTTTTACAGTAAACCATTACTCTAGTAAGTAAAATGTTTCCCTGAGTTCTGTGATCCCCTCTAGCAAATTAATCAAGCTCAATAAGGGTGTTTGGGGAAGCTTAGGTTTATAGCTGATGGGTCAGAAGCATAGGTGACAAACTGGACTTGAATTGAGTTGAATTCTCAGCTGATGTCAGAGAATTTCTTGGTGTCAGAATGTGGCATCTCAAACTCAAAGCGCTTCAAAATCAAACTCATGATTCCCACTTCATCCTCTGACCCCCACCATCCCCACCACGAAGCTGGTTTTCCTGTCTTTCTCATTTTAATTAATGGCAACTCTATCACTCTTGCTTGGACCAAAACTTAGAAGTCAACCTTGACTTCTTTCTGTCTTTCACACCTAACATGAAATCCATTAGGAAACGTTACCTTCTAAATCTATGCAGAATCCAATGAGTCCGTAGCCTCTCCACTACTAACTCCATGGTGCAAGTAACCCTGAATTACTGCAATGGTTTGCTCACTGCAAACCCTTGCCCTTGTAATTTTATTCACTTTATAAATAAGAAAACAAGCTCAGAGAAGTTATTGGGTTATCTCAGCTAGTAAGTAATGGAATCAAAACTCAAACCCTCTGCTCTGCCCTTGCCCCCTACAGTTGATTCTCCATCCAGTGGCCAGAGAGATCCTCTTAAACATCAGTTAAATCAAGGTATTCCTCTGCTTAAAACACTATAAGAACCTCTCATCTCACCCAAAAGGAGAGCCAGAATCTTTATAGGCCCCATCAAGTCTGTCAAGCCCATACAGCCCTCACCCTCTACCATGCTGTCTCCCACATGTTTTCCCTTTACCCCCTCTTCTCCAGCAGTCCTGGCCTCCTCACCAATTTGTGAGTACCCCAGGCATGGCCTACTTTGGCATCTTGGCATTTGTTATTTCCTCTGTCCCTTCCCCTATATCTCTATAGCTCCTCCTCGTTTCTTTAAGAACCTTAATTCAAATGTCAGCGAACTTTTCATAACCACTCTATTTAACATTGCAACCCAACTCACAACACTGCTTTCCCTGATTTTTCTCCATGACATTGTTCAGTAACATTCACACATTTTACTCATTATTTTATTATCTATATCTTCCCACTAGAATTCAAGCTCATGAGAGCAGGGTTTTGTGTTTTGTGAACTGCTATATTCCCAATGGGTAGATCAGTGTTTGCTATGGAGAACTCAGTAAACGGTTTTGTTTGTTTGTTTGTTTGTTTTTTTAATGAAAGCATGAGCAGTGATAAAGTGAATGAAAACTGAAGCTCAGTTGTAAGATGGCTTGGTTTAGAGTTTTGATTCCATTATTTACTAGCTGAGATAACCCAATAACTTCTTTGAGCCTGTTTTCTTATTTATAAAGTGAATAAAATTACAACATCTACTTTCTAGAGCTGTTGTGAATACTAAAGGAGAAAACATACAGGGTGGAGCAAAAGTAGGTTTATAGTTATTCATATGGAAAATAATATAATAGCTATTAAATCATAATACCAGAATAAACTCTGTGTTTTGTGTACTTACAACTGTAAACCTGTTTTGCCCCACCCTGTACGTTAAGTCCTCAGCACAGTGCCTTAGAAAAGAGTGAATGTTAGTGTTCTCAGTCATCTCTTGCACAGAGAGATTCTCAGAGAGAGAGAGGCCAGAGCAGAGACCATGGTGACCCTGGGCAGGGCTGGTGGTACCAAGTGGCATGGCCTGATCCTCCCTCTCCCTGACCGCTAAAAACTCTGAAGGAGATGAAATCAAATTTTGCTCCCTTTCCTGAGCCTCTCTCTTGCAGCCCTCTCTCCCCACTTATTCTATCTCCTCTCTGTTCCACTATAAGGCCTCTCATTTCAGGGACTCATTTCTGATGAGATGCTACGTACACTTCGAGGGATGACCTTAGCTCAGTTTAGGAGGAATTCACAGATTAACGGGATCTTGAACATGGAGTAGCCTCACCCTGCAGGTTCCTGCCCGTGGTTACTTTCAAACTCTCTGCCTTTATCACCTTCCTCTCTCCCACCAAACAACAGTGCCTTAGGTCGCCTCTCATTGGAAGACATGTGTGAAGACTTGATACCAGCTTGGCCAACCTTAATGCTTTATTAATTCGCATAAAAGAATCCACTCCTGCAAGATGGCCGCGGTCTCACTTGCGGCCTTTATTGTTGCTGCCCCCTTCCCCACAGTGCCAATGCACTTTATTTTCATGGCTGTGTTTGGTTTCCTTTGGATTACTTCAGCAGCCTTCATTTTGGAATTTCTCATTTGTTTTATCTAATAAAATGTTTTTATTCCACTGTGGACATGGGTGTAGGTCTAGACCTCTACATAGTGGAAGGAACAAACCCTGGATTCATTTACCAGGTTGAGGCCTTTGATCCAGAAGACACAAGTCAAAATATACTCCTCAGTGTAAGTCTGTTTGTTGAACTGGAGGTGGGCTGACCCAGAAACCTGGCATCTCGGCAGGGTGGGCTTGGGCAGTGGCAATGGGAGAAATATGGTGCCTGCTGTCAAAGCATAGAGGACAGGGGAGGTGGAAATGGGTAGTGGGGCTCTCGAGTCAGATACCCCAGATTGGATTCATGGCTCTGTGGGATCTCGGACAAGTTCTTAGCCTCTCTGAGCTTCCATTTCTTTGCCTGTCAAGTAAATGCACCTACCTCAGTAGGGGTACTATAAGTATTAGAGAATGCATGTAAATCCACTTAGGACAATGCCTGCCTGGCATATTAAAATTGCTCAATATTTTTTAATTCTAAGGTGATAAAAATCCAGCTATATTATTTTTAAAATAAGCATAAAATATGTACCCCAAAGGCATTAATACTTCCCTTCTAGAGATGAAGCCAAGCTGTTTGTAGCCAAGTTAAAAAAAAACACATTAAAAGCAAGTCCCAGGAATTCCAAGAAAAGGAGGGCTTCCATAGAGAAATGTAGGAGATTGGGTCCGGGAGACCCAATCTGAGACAACTGATTTCTCTTCTCGGTTAATCAGTTTCCTTGATGGAACTGTCAGTGGAACCCTTGTAAACCTCAGTCAAAGAAGCCTCTTAGCTTGAGCAAGGATGCCTCAGCTCCCAGATCTTCCCACCAAACTGGTCTTGTGCAACCCTGCAGCTGACAGCCCAGGCGGGAGAGAATAATACCAGTAGACTAACTTTGGAGTAGGCAACCCTCCCGCAAACCCTGCCTCTGAAATATAACACTCAGGGAATTGGTGACACCAGGAACCTGTTTCTTCTGTTTGCTGCTGGTTTGTAGCTTCAACAGGACTACTTTTTCTGAGGAGGAAATGAGCCTTGGGAATAAATTCTAGAACCAATATCATGTAGTCTACAGTTGCCAAAACAAAACTGTTTAAGATTATTGGACAAATCTTTTTTAAAATTATATTTTATTGATTATGCTATTACAGTTGTCCCAATTTCCCCCTTTTTTCCCCTCCACCCAGCACCCCGCTCCCTCAGGCAATCCCCACACCATTGTTTATGTCCATGGGTCGTGTGTATAAGTTCTTTGGCTACTCCATTTCCTATATTGTATTTTACAGCCCCATGGCTATTCTGTAACTCCCTATTTGTATTTCTTAATCCCCCCACCTCTTCAGCCATTCCCCCACACACCCCTCCCACCTGGCAACCATCAAAATGTTCTCTGAATCCATGGTTCTGTCTCTGTTCTTCATGTTCCTTAATTTGTTTTTTAGATTCAATTGTTAATAGACATGTATCTGTTGCCATTTTATTGTTCATTGTTTTGACCTTCTGTTTCTTAGATAAGTCCCATTAACATTTAATATAATAATGGTTTGGTGATGATGAACTCCTTTAGTTCTTTTCTTGTCTGGAAAGCTCTTTATTTGCCCTTGATTCTAAATGATAGCTTTGCTGGGTAGAGCAACCTTGGCTTTAGGTCTCTGCTTTTCATGACTTTGAATGTTTCTTGCCAATTGCTTCTAGCCTGCAAAGTTTCTTTTGGGAAATTAGCTGACAGTCTTATGGGTATTCTACTCTAGGCAACTAACTTTTCTCTTGCTACTTTTAAGATTCTCTCTTTATCTTTAACCTTTGGCATTTTACTTACAATGTGTCTTGGGGTGGGCCTCTTTGTAACCATCTTATTTGGGACTCTTTGTGCTTCCTGGACTTGTATATCTACTATTTCATCACCAAATTAGGGAAGTTTTCTCTAATTACTTTTTCAAGTAGACTTCTAATTTCTTGCTCATTCTCTTCTTCTGACACCTTTACAATGTGAATGTTGGAATACTTGTAGTTGTCCCAGAGGCTGCTGACATTATCCTCATTTTCTTTTTTTATTCCTTTTTCTTCTAGTTGTTCTGATTGTTTTTTGCTTCCTTATCACTGATTTGCTTCCAAATCACTGATTCGATTCTCAGCTTCATCCACTCTACTCTTGTTTCTCTGTAAATTGTTCTTTATTTCAGTTAGTGTTTCCTTCATTTCTGACTGGATTTTTTTATGCTCTTGAGGTCCTCACCAAATTCCTTAAGCATCCTTATAACAAGTGTTTTGAACTCTGCCTCTGATAGATTGCTTATCTCCATTTTGTTTAGTTCTTTTTCTGGAGTTTTGATCTGTTCTTTCTTTTGGGCCGTGTTTCTTTGTCTCCTCATTTGAAAGTCTCCCTGTGTTTGTTTCTATGTATTAGGTACAGCTGCTATGACTCTCTGTCTTAGTAGTGTGGGCTAATGTAGTAGGTATCCTGCAGAGTCTAGTGGCACAGCCTTCCCTATCACCCAAGATGGGTACTTGAGGTAAACCCTTCATGTGGGCTGAGTACTGCTTCCTCTTGTAGTTGAGACTTGGTTGCTTTTGGCAGCTCGATGGGAGGGATTTACCCAGGCCAATCAGCTTCAAGGAATGGCTGTGACCACTGACCACCAACCTTCATCCTCTGTGGAGAATCATCTGTGCAGGGGCAGGGTGATGATGCTCTTATGCGGTCTGTAGCTGTCCATTGGGTGCACAGGCTCTGGGGTTTCCTGAGGGGTGCAGACCAAGGTCAGCCTTCCTCCCCAACCCTGTGTTCTGCCTGGGCCTACCCTGCATGAGATATAAAGCAATCTGATGTGGCTGCTACTTGTGCTGGGTTGGTGATTTCCAGGCAAATACAGCTGTGAATCTAAGCTGGTTGTTGCTAGTGCCAGGCGTGGGGCCACTTAGCAAGAGATATGGGGGCTGGGGGTTCACTAAGCCTGGTTGTTGCTTGTTGATTGGATTTAGGAAGTTGGGAAGCATGAGCAAAGACCAGCCATTCATATGGAAAAGCCACTGTTAACAGCTTGGGTGGGCCTATAAATTGGGTGTGATGGAGTCTCAGGTGATCTCCAGAGTGGGGCAAACAGTGTTAGCTAGGTTGATGGAGTCTCAGATATGGCACCCACCTGCTGGCTTTGTGGGTCTCTGCGGGGAGGGCTCAGAAGAGACAATGGCCTCTGCCCACCTTTCTGTCTGGGAGGAAGCTGTCCTCCAGTTCTCTCCCTGATGCCTGACACTTCAGTTCCTCCCTGTTTACCACTGATGCCTTTTAAGCTGCTACTCCAGTGCTGGAGCTCAGAGGGTATGAGTCTGAGTAAGTTTGTCTGTGGGTTCTTTAAGAGGAACTGATTGGGACTCCAGAAGTTTCTTCCATTGACTCAATCCCCACTGGTGTTTACAGTCTGAAGTTATGGGGACACATCCTCCTGGTAGTGGAACCCTGGGCTGAGGGAACTTGTGTGGGGCTGGGACTCCTCATTCCTAAGACATCCCTCCCAAATTTTTATCCACCACATGTGGATGTGGGCACGAGCCTGTGCCCCTCCTACCAGTCTGGATGGATGTGGTTTCTTTAATTCTGTAGATGTCAGACTTCCATTCAATTCAATATATGATGGTTCTGAGTGATTGTTGTCATATATTTTAGTTGTAATTTTCATGTAGTTGTGAGAGAGAGTGAGCCATGCTTACCTAGGCTCTCATCTTTACTGGAAGTTGGGACACATCTTAATTTAGGGAAACGTTGATGGTATTATTAGAAGCTATCCTTCTATAAAAAAATAAAAACAACTGTTAACAGGTCCAAAAAACAATGGAGAAAAAAAGGGGAGACTATTCAGGTAATAGTTCCCAATCTGGTTCTTGATTGGACCAATTTTATGTAAACCAGGAATCCAGATTGCACAGCAGTAATTGGTCAGCATCACACACTCTGATCAGTCATTATGGAGCAGTTCTGACTGGTCGGTGCAGATGAAAATGAGGATATAGCTGCAAGGTTCCAATTGGATGTGTGAGGTCTTAGTTCATTGGTTGAAAGCCAAAGCTAGGAACTGTCTTATAAGAGTGGGCTCAAACAGTAGGGGCACAGCACAAGTGGTTGAAAACAGTCTGAGATTCTTCCTGGTGTGCAGAGTATGTGAGAGTCTTTGTCAGCCGATGACCATTAGACTCTCATTATTTATAAAATTTGGGCCCTCCATTGACTGTGGGGAGTCTATCTCAGCAGATAAATGTCTATTCTGGGGTCACATCAAATGAATCTTTCAGGATCCACACAACCCATTCATCTATTTAAGATTCTATTCGCATGAATAAGCAAATGAATATAGAAACACTTAATGGGTCTGTACTATGTGCTAAGAGCAATACTAGGTCCTTTAATGCAATCTTATTAATAACGTATTTGTTATATCAGTTACAAATATGTTTGGAAATAACAGAAAACTTAACCACAGTGGCTGTTAAAGGATTTTTTTCTCCTATAACAAGAAGTCCAGAGGCAAGCAAACAGTCCAGAGCTGGCAAAACTGCTGCCATCAGAAACCTGGGCACTTCATATCTTTTTGCTCTTCCAACCAGAACATATTAAATTTGTCCTCTTTTTCTTCACTTATAAGATGTTTACAAGATGGCCGCTGTGCCTCCAGACTTTACCTCTAAGTTCTGGGTAGGAGGAAAAAGAAGGAAAAGAAGAAGTGGCAGAAGAAGAAGAGGAAGGAAGGAAGGAAGGAGGGAAGGAAGGAAGGAAGGAAGGAGGGAAGGAAGGAAGGAAGGAGGGAAGGAAGGAAGGAAGGAGGGAAGGAAGGAAGGAAGGAAGGAAGGAAGGAAGGAAGGAAGGAAGGACGAAAGAGAGAACGAAAGAAAGAAAGAGAGAAAGAAAGAAGGGAAGAAAGAAGGAAAGAAAGACATGAAGGAAGGAAGGAAGGAAGGAAGGAAGGAAGGAAGGAAGGAAGGAAGGAAGGAAGGAAGGAAGGAAAAGGGAAAAAGAAAGAGGTAGAGAGGGAACCAGCTAGGCCAGTCTATGCCTTTCTTGGTAGGAAAACAAAGGCCCTCTTGGAAGCCCTAACCACAGGACTTCTGCTTGTTTCTCACTGTCTAGAACTCTGTCCTGGGGCCACTGTTACT